ATATGTTTAGGCTAGGGTTAGAAAGAGAGAGAGAAGCTTATAGCTTAGAGAGGGAGAGATGATGATTGTTGGTGAATGAAAACGGAGGAAAACAACCCTATTTATAAGAAAAAAACAAGGGAAAAGATCAGAAAAAAGAGTCAGAATCCGACTCGGAGTAAAACGCTTTTCATCGCGTGACGATGGATCCATCACTGTGCGATATTTTCATCGCTGCGCAATGCTTTTCGGAAGATAAGATTCGTATGGAATCTGACTTCCTATCAAATTGGGTTAGTCGAATATCCGTACGTATCCTTATTTTATCAGAATTAAATCTATAAAATCACATGTTTTATCCGATATAAAATTCTTAAACTTTATCTTTTCAAAAAGAAGATAAATTAGAACCTTCTAGAGGATTGTAGAAGCTAATAATCAATCCCAAGGGATTTAGGACTCAAAATAACCTTCTAGATAATTCTAGAAGCTTATGATAAATTCTAATGGTTTTAGAAATAGAGTTAAGATTAATGGACTCTCCACATGATCATTGGGTCCGCAGATAAGGCTCGGTATGGACCCAGTTTAGTATTTTGGTCATACCTTCTTCGTTATAACTCGGATTTGGGCTTATAATATATCGTTGGAAAGCTCTTTTCAAACCGCATCTAACTATACAATTATTAGACTAAGAATATGGACTAAAATAAATTGGTTTGGACCTTTTTACAAAAAGGACATGAAAATGATTATTTTAAGGACATGAAATGAACTATTTTGGGTCTAAAGACACAAAATAAATGATTTTTAGGATTAAAAACTTTTAAAGAAAGGTTAGAAATGGTCCAGGCTTAGGAAATTCACGAGAATCTTCAACTCTTCACCTAACTCGATAATCAAAGACGTGAAAGGTACTCATCACTGGGTTTGGTTTTTGGGGAGACACATTCAGGTGTCTATAGTTAGTCATTAAGGAGATTGCTCATCTTTTCAAAAAAATCGAGTAAGAAACACCTTATGGCTTTCAAAATTGATATTTCTAAAGCCTATGATAGCTTGGAATGGGGTTTCATTAGAGAAACTTTGATTGGGCTAATTTCCCTAGTTCTCTTGTTAATCTCATCTTGAGTTGTATCACTACTCCTTCCATTTCAATTTTATGGAATACTGAAATTAAAGTTTTACACCTTCAAGGGGGACTAGACAAGGTGACCCCCCTCTCCTCTTATATTTTTATCTTAGTTTAGAGAGACTTTCCTTAATGATTGAGCAAAAAGTGGGTGAGGGTGTTTGGAAACCTATCAAAATTGATAATGAGGTTTGTATTTCCCATCTTTTCTATGCCGATGATGTGTTTCTCTTTGCTAGGGCTTCAGTGGATAATGTGGAAATCATTAAGGAAATGCTCCTTGAGTTTGGTACAAAATAGGGTCTTTTTATTAGTCCTGCTAAATCGAAAGTAATTTTCCCTCCTAAGATGTGTTTGTCTCTCAAGGTTGCCATTCTTAATGCTTCTAACATTAAGGGTGCCCCTTCTTTTGGTAAATATTTAGGGGTGAACATTAGCTCTAATAGACTTAGGAAGGCCGATTATGTTGATCTTCTTAATAAGACTAAAAATAGAATTAAGGGTTGGCAAGCTAAACTTCTTAACATGGCCGGAAGATGCACCTTGATTAAGTCCGTTCTTAACTCCTATCCCCTTTATGCTATGCAAACTACTTTACTCCCTAGTGCTATTCTTGATGATTTGGAAGCGTTTCCTTTGGAATAGGGTTGATAGATCCCATTACCTTCCCAGAACTAGTTGGGAGAAGGTTTGTCTTCCTTCCGATTTGGGGGGGGGGTCTAAGAATGCGTATTCTTAAGAATTGGAACCTTGCTTTTATGGCAAAGCTTGCGTGGAGAATACTCCAAGAGCCGAATTAGCTTTGAGTACAAATTCTTCATGCTAGATATTTCAAAAATTCCACATTCTTAAATTGCATTCCTAGTCCCTATGATTCTCCCCTTTGGAAGGACATTCTAAAAGGGGAAAAGTTGCTTATGAAAGGTATTTCTTATAGGGTTGGAAACGGAAAAGACATTTGCCTTTGGTACCATCATTGGGTGGGTGATAAACCCATTTATTTGGTGATCGATACCCCCATTCTGGATTCTATTGCTCATTGGAGGGTTAATTACATAATTGACAATGGAAGTTGGAATACCAACAAAATTAAGCACATTAGAACCGCCCACCTCTGCAGACTCATTGAAAGTATCCCCTTACCAAGTGTAGCTTCGGTTGAAGACACTCTTTGTAGGGGAGTTGAAACCAATGGTCAGTTTAATATTCAGGGGCCGTTTGGTTCGCGCGGGGGAATCGGAATGGAATGAACAAAGGGAATGTAGGAGAATGGAATGAAACCCTTTCCAAGTACTGTGTTGTTTGGTTTTCAATAAACAAAGGGAATCACCATCACCACCACACATCCCCTTTCTTCACTTTTCCAGCCACCAGGAGCCACCCCATCGCCCAGCCACAACGTCGACGGAAATCGGCAGCCCTGGGCGCACCTCCCCCACCCCTCGCAGCCCCTAACCTCCCCGGAAAAAACTTCCACCACCACGCAAAAACCCTAGAAAACACCATCCCTCCCCTTAAAAACGCCGGCCAACCTTCCCCCGCCCTCGAAACCCTAGCCGCTAGGGTTTCGAGGGTGGGGGGAAGGTCGGCCGGCGTTTTTAAGGGGAGGGATGGTGTTTTCTAGGGTTTTTGCTTGGTGGTGGAAGTTTTTCCGGGGAGGGGAGGTGTTTTCGAGGGGAGAGGTGGGGGAGGTGCGCGGGCTCCGGCGAGTTGTGGGGGAAGTGCGGCGAGTCCGGCGGTGGGGACTAGGTCCGTGGCGAGGTGGTTGGGCTAGTTCCGGCAAGTACAATGGTGGTGGGTATGGTGGCTAGGGAAAGGGAATGGGAAAGTCTGGGGGGGTGGGGAATCAATGTAGACTAAAAATGGGTGAACTCAAAAATAAAAATGGGTAAAGGGAATCAAAAAAGTGTCAAACAAACAACAACAAAGGGAATGATATCAGTTCATTCCGATTCCCTTTGATTATTAACCCCAACCAAACGGCCCCTCAAAGTGCTAATAATTTTGTGCGTAATTTCTCTTCTCACCCCACTTTTCCTCTATTAATTGGAAGAAGCTTTGGCATATCCCGATCCCTTTCAAATACAAAACGTTAGTTTGGAATGTTTGTCATCAAATTTTACCCACTGCTACTGTCTTAGCCTTAAAAATTGATAATTTTGACCCCTTGTGTACTAGATGTAAGCTTGATGAGGAGAATCATATGCACTTATTTAGGGATTGTATTAATTCTGGAACGTTGTGGTCTAGGATTTTTGACTTAAATAAGATGGATAAGGAGTTTAATTATAATACCTTTTTCAACATTAATTGGGAAGGATGGATCAATTACAATATGAATATGAATACTACGTGGAAGTTCGTTTTTTCTGTTGCCTTATGGCACATCTGGAAAGCTAGGAACTATACGGTCTTCCAACTTGCTGTCTATCACCCTATTTCCTTGTTTAATAGATATAAGCTGGACTTGGATGCTACTATTAATTATTAATGTGTTTCAGGGCAAAGGGACTTATCCGTGAGACTAGATGGCAGCGACCACACTGATGGGCCGGGGCATGGAGAAGGAACGACAAAGCAGGGGCTGGTAGTGTTGCTAGGACTTTGGATGGATCGCGGTTCTTTGGCAAAGCATGGCAAATTTCAGCTAGGAACTCAGCAGAAGCCGAGTTGATTGCAATTCAAGGAGGGATGCAGATGGCAGTGGATGCGTGCCTCAAGGAGGTTATCATCGAAACTGATGCGTTGTCTCTCGAGCGTACCATTGAGGATGTTGGCAAGCATGGTACACATGAGCTTGCTGCCATCCTCAAGGACATGGAGTTGCTGCTCAACAAAGGATGTACTCAACTACATTCCAAGGGAGGCAAATAGGGTTGCCCATTATTCTGCCTCTTGAACTTAACTTGCTGTACTCTGATTATCATTAATTAATTTTAACTTGCTACGGTTTTTAAAAAAAAAAACTATTATGCAACACCTTTATAAAATGAAAATATTTACATATTTTTTATTATATATTTGTAACTCTACTCTTATGGTCCTTATTTTTATGCCACTCAACAACGATAAGTAATTCCATTGATTTTTGCATCATCAGTTTACTATTTATAGACTATAGTGCCCCTCTATTGCATAATACGCAGTACTTCGTAACTAACATAGTCAAACTTTTTTACCGTAAAAAGTACTAATATATATTCCTCCAAACCAAACATTAGTAAAAATTGTAAACATGAAAAATATTGATACTGTGAAAACTTCACATGTGCTAATTGCCTAATATAAATAATTAAACATTAGTAAAAATTTAAAATGTTGATATTGTAAAACTTCACATTAATTCTTACTTTAAAACATTTAACATGATAATAATTGTTAATAATACATCTTTAAAACATTTAACATGATAATAATTGTTATTAATACATTAGTAAAAATGTATATTCATAGTTAGAATATGAATAGCGAATAAAGACAAAATATGTCGATTATTTTGGAACGGAGAGAGTAATTAATTTCATAACATAGATAAATAAAAAGTATGATGTTACAACAGTTGAAGTGATAAGAAATTTTTGAAACTTAACGTGCTTTATAAAGATTTAGTAGTGTACTTCCCCTCAAAAAAAAAAAAAAAAAAAAAAAGAAGATTTAGTAGTGCACTTGTTTTTTTTATCAAATCAAATGAGTTTCTCATGACGGTATGTGGCTTTTAATCCTTTGATAGGCGACGATTTCACAACTTTTGAGTCACTGCAACATGATTTTGCTACACTTGAATCTGCAATGAGTAATTTTAAGACGAGAAAGTATACCTTCAATTCATAAAGGGGATTGTAATACATCGCCTTTAGCGATACCAAAAAGAAGTTCTATACTAAAAAGATATTAAAAGAAATCTAGATTGTGTTTTGATGTCAAATCCACTTGCTACACCAACAGTTCTTTAAAGTTAGCCGTAGCAGAGTTCTTTAACTTCATAACACGGAGTAAAACATTCTAGTTCCATTTACAAATTATATCGACGATCAAATTAGTATTTACAACATATCTAACAGTTATGTACGATAATGATTCACAATGAAGGTTATCTCAGTACTCAAAAATAAGCTATAGCATAATTCTCAAAGATAATTACAGCAACGATTAAGACGAAAACTTGGACTCGATTTACAACTTATCTGCAGGGCAAGTCCAAAATCTGCTGCAGCTAGCAATCTGAAATCCGGCAGTTCATTCGTCACTGATCATATAGAGCAATGTACTGATACTATTGCAAGGCTCTGTACAGCTGCACAAAATCTTCTATATTCTTCAAAATCCAGAAACCAGAACCAGCATCTGAAATATCTTCAAACTGCAATAGCAGTCAAGGTCTATCTCAATATACCAACATAAGCAGAAATTAAGTTGTTACACAAAGCAGGCCCTCACTAATCAAATCTTAGTGCAGCAAATTGTATTCAATTTGGCACTGATGAGAGGACAGATAAACTGCAGCAGAATTTGTCAAATGCCCAGTAATGTCTACCTAGCTCAGACCAGACCGCAAATTTCAGCAAGATGCTGCACCGTTCCAAGTTTCAAACATATCTACAGCTGTTGAATTGTGTTACAAATGCATCTGCATCTAAGTGCTTAGCAAGCAAAGTCACTGATGTATACAGCTGCATCCACTCCCTGCACCACCTCAGTAACCAATCACTCACATTTTAGTTCGTTGATTATAGAGTTACCACATACCGCATTCTCTTCGCCTTAGCAGTCGTCAGAAGTGTTGATTTCATTTGTTGGAAAATTTTGGTTTGACAGCATTGCACATATCACTTAACCCTTGTTCACATAATTTTTTAGCATGCTCGTTAACTTGGCATGTGGTCAGGAGATCATAGAAACTACGAGCCATTGTGTGACGCCACGGTGTTTGCAGCTCCTTCTTATCCTCGACTGTTGATGCATCATCATCTTTATGAAATGAAAAATGTTAAATGGTCATACGTATTAAGATTACACGATATAATTACAAATAACTTAAATAGAATAAAATTGGTCTCGAAGTGACATTATGCTCACAAAGATTTATGTTGGCCGTTTGTTTTGAAAAGTGATATAGCTATGGTAAAGTTACACAGTATCAATTATGTCCTAGATAGAAAGTGACACACAAAGCATGGAAAAAGACGGGCATCATATACATATAAAACAATTTGTTCTAAAGCATTTATGTTTTATAGATCAAAGTTAAAAATTTGTTACCTTTGTGTTTAGTCCAAATCTCAGACTTTGCTAACTTAGTCCAACGCTTCATAATGTATTTCTTTGGGATCTCGAAAATGCAGTGCATGTGCATAACCCTCAAAATATGATAGCACAGCAAGCCACATTCTTGATAACTCATGCAGGTACAAGAAAGTTCAAGGAATTCATTATCATATTGAACCTTGTGACTTTGTGTAAAGTCCTCATAAAGTGAAACTTAATAAATCTTAAAACATCCTTGATTTGCAACTGCTCGAATGTAACTACCCATTGCCATATCAAACTCTTTTTGAAAGTCATCAAATAAATCCAGTGTATATACTTCAGCAGCGTGTTTTAAGAGCTTGCATCGCGATTCACTTGCAGGATGTCTTTCAGTTGTACATTTAAAGTTATCACTTTCTTCAATGTTACGCCAATGTTTCACTGTATCCTCTGGTAAAACTCAAATAAGCTTGTTGTCTGATTAGCTCCAAATGATACAGCCCTGTTTATCATTTCTACTTTCTGTGAAGACAAAATTCGAGCTGAAAAGAAGTCTTTGCTTAGAGTTGTACACCACTTATCCCTCAATTTGTATAGCTGTGAAAACCAAATACTTTCTTCAAGGTCATATGTGCTGATCATCTCTGTCCAGCACCTCAAAAACTCTTCTTCATTGTCACATCCAGTCAAGCACTTGTTGAAGATGTCCTTAAAAGTAGGATTGCTTCCAAGCATTTCAAAATTAGAAATAAAATTTGTTTGGAGGTGCCAAATACATAGACGGTGTCTTGAATTTGGGAATACCTAAACAAGGAAAAAAAAAAAATTGAAATTAGTTTCCGAAAAATTTATATTCCAAAGCTAGAAGATAATCATAATACATACTACCTCCGTAACTCTGTTTCACAATGATATTAACATTTACTATTTATCTACTTTATTTCTTTTATGGTAAACCCCTTTTACTACCTTACCCTTCTTACCTTACAATAATACACCTTTCCACTCCATTTCTCTTACTTATTCACATTTTTACACTCTCTCTCCGTCTTTTACTCAATTCACGTTTTACCTACACCCACCCTACTTTTTATACACTCGATCTCTCATTTGACTTGATACTTGTGCAAATATTATATGTTAAGAACATTATGAAACATAGGTATCATTTGTTAAAAACTGAAAATAAATGCACCCAGGCAACAAAAACTACATAATTATAGAATAGTCCTTAATATGCCGTATTTAAGTAATTTAGTGACATAATCAAAATTTTAAAAAAACATATATATTAGAAAAGGAGAGTTTAATTTCATTACCTTTGCAATTGCATTTGGCAACTCTAAATTTTGGTCGGTGAATATGGACTTTGGTGCAAGTCCACTCATAGAATTCTTGAAGGTTTCCAAAAGCCACTCAAATATTTCCGTCTTCTCATCAAAAATAAAGGCACAAGCAAACATCGTGGTTTTCCAATGGTTGTTTATTCCAAAAAATGGGGCACATATCAAATTATATCTATTTATTCTATATGTCGTGTCAAATATTAATGCATCCCCATATGCTATGTAGTCTTCCAACATCATTGAATCACGCCAAAATATGCTCACAATTTGATTATCATCATTAACTTTTACCCTGTAGAAAAAAGAATTATCATCAGTTGTCCTTCGTTGCATGACATCTAATACATTTTGCATGTCACCACCCTTTGAATTCTTTATCTTAAGCCTTGAAACAATATTCAGATAATCCGTCTTTGTGTGACCATCAAGTTCTTTCTCCTTATCTGCAATGCACAAGTATTTGCAGCAATCCATTTGCTTACTACCTGAAGTCACCATTGTTTCAATAACTTTGCCTACACATTTTGAGGTAGATAATTTTGACCTCAGACAATGACATTCTTCCTGTTTTACAAAGTCATGGTTATGGATTATGTTATGATCAGCAACAATAAATCTGCCTTCCTTATCCATCTTAAACCGTATATATGCTTTGCAATCTGTGCGGGTCTCATTGACTACTCTAAGTTTCCTTTTCTTTTGACTGGTAGTTGAAGCAGATCCTTCAGTGGTTGGAATCCCAACAATGCTCTTCGTTTGCACTTCTTTTTTGCCTTTGTTTCTTAAACCAGCCTTTGAACAAACAAAGTACTTTTCAAAAATGACACTATTACTGCACCTTCTCCTTGATGTCCCCTTCCTAACACTAAACCCAAGAGCTCTTGCATGAGCCTTATATAGATTTAGTGCATCATCGAGATCTAAAACTTCACGTCCAAGCAAACATTCACCAATACTCAGGTCATTATCATATGTGTAATCTTCTTCTTGCTGGGTTTCTGTAAAAGGTGAAACTGAGCTTTGTGTGAATCTAAAACACATATTTGCATCATTAACCTAAATTTGATGACGCCAAAGCCTATGTGGTAACAATGTTATATACTTCCTCCGTTCTAGTAATATTGCAACTGCAACAACTGGACTTTTACACTATTCATCATACTTGTTTGACCACATATTATGATTTATAAGAAAAGTAAAATATAGTCATGTGGGGTCTTGTTAGATTTGTCTCGTAAATTACTTTCACAATATCAACTTTTTATAATTTTTACTCTTATATAATTATAGATATTTAGCATATAAAATGTGCTTAAGGATGCGTAATTTCATCCTTGTTGCAATATTTGTGGAATAGAGGAAGTATAACATAGAGATGACATTTAAAGTATTTAAGATAACACTGGAAAGATAAAAAATAACATGAGAAATATCAAAAGCGATTGCAGATTTGAAAACTCTTAAAAGTGATATGGAATTGAGGAAATATCTATAACATTAATTTTCTTATTTATAAGATAAAATAAAAACAATATTTTAAGTGCCAATGCAATCATAACAATTGACATCATTAATATTTAATGTGACTAGAGAATTAAATTTATAAGTGCCTATTAAGAATATTCAAATCATTAATAAAATTTCATTATTGACATGACATATAAAAATGACCTTAAAATATGAAGTACAAAAGGTAAAATTCTAATCTCTAAGTATCTAATAACAAAAGTGATATAATCCTTACATCCATAAATAAAGCCCTACTTCTCCCAAATTCTTGTCCATAAATAAAAGCATCATTCCTCATTTGGGTGGGGTCTATCATCCACTAATTTTTTTAATTCACTCTTAATCAGCAAAACCCCTCTAGTCCCACTATATTTTCTCATTCACTTCCACTAAAACAACATCAACAACAAAAACAAAGCCTTAGTATAATTTGGGGCTGGCTAACATAAATCGTCATAAGGAACCATTCGCAAAAAAAGAAACAAAGAAAGGAAAGTGATAAAATGGAAGTGAACAAAAAACGAGAAAAAACATAGTGAGAAAAAAAAAGGGTAATGGAAAGTGAAAACCCAAAGAGAGGATATCAAAATATAATTAAGTCATACTGTGTATAAAAGAGGAGTAAGGGGAAATATGTCAGAACCCGACCTTTGCACAACAATTACGCTCACTTAAACACAGGATTAAGGCAAGCTTGAGTACTTATTAATTAATTCGAAATTAACGAAAGATTACAAGGATAAATAATAGCTTTAGGCTATCAATCTCAAGGTAGCTTTAGGCTACTAATCTCTAATGGAGTTCACTCAATTTCTAGATAGATGGCTAACAATACATAATGTGCTTTATATACTCAAGCTACTAACATGCCCTAAAACTAATTAAGGTTGACTCTAAGACTTGGGAACAACAATCATCCAGCCATGGTTTCTAAAGTGGTGACTTCTCTTTTTCTTGCTTGTCTTGAGTCTTCTTTCCTAAATTGACTTCTTTGACAAAAGCTACTGCTTCCCTTGTTCCTCCCCGTGCTTCCCCTGTTTCCCTCACTTTAACGTTGAATTTGTTTTGCTGACCCACTTTGTGAATTTGACCCACCTTGGGCCGACAGGTGTAAACCTTAATGGGTTGGCCCAATTGTGAGTCCATTACATTACCCGCCGCCTCGAGATTCACCTTATCCTCAAGGTGGAAGGTCGAAAAACGCTCGGCGATGGTGGCGCCGTCCTCCAAAGTTGCTTCGAAGTGTGGCAGCCACTTCATCAACACTTCAACCTTAGTCCCATGCCCCGCTGCTAACTGCCGAACTTCCAACACCTCTTCGGGTTCCACCAACAACTCCATCTCAGCCGTGAATTGAGCCGGGATCGTTGGGTTCACCGGAGGCGACCCAATGGCACGCTTGAGTTGCAAAATGTGGAAAACCGAGTGGATCTTGCAAGTGAGGGGAAGATCCAAGCAGTATGCCACCTTGCCAACCCTTCCAATCACGCGAAAAAGACCATAGAAGCGTGCCTCTAGCTTCTCATTAGGGCGGTTGGCGAGAGATTTCTAACGGTACGGCTGGAGCTTCAAGAACACGTCCTCAACTATCTCGAATTGCTCATCACGCCGCTTCTTATCCGCATACTCTTTCATGACTTGCTTGGCTTTCAACAAATTTACTCTCAATTCATCCAACATCTCATCTCTCTCCTTCAACCACTCTTCCAATTGATCCACCGGAGTCTGCCCACTTTGTTTGGGGGTCTTTTATGTCCTTCGGGAGAGTTACAATTTCCTAGCAGACTTCCTTCTTACGCCTGTACCTGCACCTAGCAGACTTCCTTCTTACGCCTGTACCTGCACAAGTAACGGAGACTCCGGATGGGGGTGGGAGTTCCGCCTCCGAAGATTAAGTTAGTATCTTTTCGAAGTGGAATAAGAACAGTAAAAGCTTCTCGGTTCGAGAGCGTTTCAGTAGGTTTGGGCTTTGTTTGTTTTTTGTGTGGTTGCAATTAATGTATCCTCCTCATAAATGAGGTCTACCCTTACTATTTATAGTAAGGGAGAACTGTACCTCAATTAGGGTATAAGGGACACGTGTCGCAAAGGGATTGGGCCTTTGCAGACCGTTGAAAGATTGACACGTGTCAAGCCTTTATTGGGCCACGTGTCTTAGGGTATTTTCACCCTAAACATCTGCCCCTCACAGGTGAGATGTGGCAAGCTCACGTGTCATCTGTGACATAGGGTGCATGGGGTAAGTGACGGTTCGTCTGCTTCCCCCCTCCTTTTTTTTTTTTTTTTTTTTTTTTTGAATTTCAAATTTTCGTGCAGAAGGTGACTGTTCGCCTTCTGCCTCTTTCTATAAGTAGGGTGGCTACCTCTTTCCTCCGCACTTTTTATTTTCAAAAATTTCCTGAGAAGCTCTGATACCGGCTGCTTCTTTCAAGACTTTCGAGCATCCGGTTTTCGCAAGTACTTGACATCTGCCTTCCGGCTGAGTGCGGATTTAGTAAGGTACCGTCTTTTTGCCCCTAGATTAAGGATCTCACTCGGCATTTTGCCGCCTGGGTATATTTTGTCCAAAAATTTCTGAATTACCCCTACCTCATCCGGGATTTCCCGTGTGAGGTTTTTGAAATATTTCCCCAGTTGTAAAATGCCCTCATCCGTCATTTTGCCGCATGGGGCTGGCTTGGGGCAAATCCAAAAATCCCCCTCATCCGGCGTTTTGCCGTCTGGGATGTTTAATATACACCCATCCGGCATTGTGCCGCATGGGACCCCTTTGAGCCAACTTTGTTTTTATTCAAACTAGTCATAAGTAACCCCATCCGGCCTTTAGCCGTATGGGGGTGGTTTGATCAACCTTTGCTTTCAAACATCTTTCAAATTGCCCCCATCCGGCATTTAACCGTATGGGGGTAGTTTGAGCAGCCTTGGCTTTTTCTCAAACATCATTCAAATTGCCCCCATCCGGCATTTAACCGTATGGGGGTAGTTTGAGCAGCCTTGGCTTTTTCTCAAACATCATTCAAATTGCCCCCATCCGGCATTTAACCGTATGGGGGTCGTTTGAGCAGCCCTGGCTTTTTCTCAAACATACAAATAGCCCCCATCCGGCTTTTACCCGTATGGGGGTCGTTTGAGCTTCCTTGGCTCACACTTTGTTTCAAATTGCCCCCATCCGGCTTTTAACCGTATGGGGGTCGTTTGAGCAGCCTTGGCTTTTTCTCAAACGTTGTTCAAATTGCCCCCATCCGGCGTCTAACCGTATGGGGGTTGTTTGAGCAGCCTTTAGCTTTTTCTCAAACATACAAATAGCCCCCATCCGGCTTTTAACCGTATGGGGGTCGTTTAAGCAGCCTTGGCTCAAAACTGTTTCAAATTGCCCCCATCCGGCTTTTAACCGTATGGGGGTCGTTTGAGCAGCCTCGGCTTTTTCTCAAACATACAAATAGCCCCCATCCGGCTTTTAACCGTACGGGGGTCGTTTGAGCAGCCTTGGCTCAAAACTGTTTCAAATTGCCCCCATCCGGCTTTTAACCGTATGGGGGTCGTTTGAGCAGCCTCGGCTTTTTCTCAAACATACAAATAGCCCCCATCCGGCTTTTACCCGTATGGGGGTCGTTTGAGATTCCTTGGCTCAAACTTTGTTTCAAATTGCCCCCATCCGGCTTTTAACCGTATGGGGGTCGTTTGAGTAGCCTTGGCTTTTTCTCAAACGTTGTTTAAATTGCCCCCATCCGGCGTCTAACCGTATGGGGGTTGTTTGAGCAGCCTTTAGCTTTTTCTCAAACATACAAATAGCCCCCATCCGGCTTGTACCCGTATGGGGGTCGTTTGAGATTCCTTCGCTCAAACTTTGTTTCAAATTGCCCCCATCCGGGACTCCACCGCTTGGGGGGCTTTTAAATGAGCTTCCAATTAAACATGTCTGATCTATTTTTCTTCATCAGCTTCAAACACATTCGGAGATTTCCGCCTGTGTAGGTTTCAAGCCACCATCTCAGCAAATTCCAACCTCCAAAGGTACCGTCTACACCCTTTTTCAATTCTTTTTGTTAATTTTCCGGTTGCATAGATAGGATATGGACCCTTCAATTATACACTCGGCACAGCCTACGGCTGCTGTCAGGCGGTCACCAGGCACGGCTGAGTCTAGGACTGGGACTGCCGTCTGGGGGTATTTGGGCGAACCTTCACCTACCTCGAATCCGACCGTCTCTGTTCATGTGCAGGACAGAATGGCTCGGATAAGATGGACGGCAGTTGACCTGGTTTTCAAGTCCGACGACGCAGCCGAAGATCCGGCTGATCCCAGAAACGAGGACCAGACGGCAGGACCGTCTGGTGAAATTCCTTTGGAAGAAACCCTGGGGACTCGTCAAGATTCCCCGAGTGGTCCGAGCACACCGGGTGACAGCATATTAGAAGACTCTGATTCTAATGCCGAAGGATCCGGCGATGAATCTGCTGGAGAAGGGTCTGGGTCCGAATCTGAAGCCCCTGCACAGGAGGC